ATTGGGTGTCGTCAGGGCCAAGCTCAAGCATGTTCCCATGTTGTTCGTGGAATAGATGTGCTCAGCTCCACCTTCTACTTCATTTTATTTAGTGAAGAGTCTTATGACGCTGGGCTCGACGCTAGGTCAAGTGGATTCAATTTAAATTTAAGTCTTTTACCTCCATTCTTTTTTAAATTAACGCGCACATAAATATTTTCTGCTGTGTTATCTTACTAGTAAAGTTTCTTATACAAAGTAAAGGAACCAATAATCTCAACAGATGATTTGGCAAAGTTTTCTGATTTTATTAACTCTCTAACTGTTCCAGCTTCATTTTCTGCTTACTTAAGAATGTCAAGGTCAATTATAGAGTTGATTTAATCTGATCTCACAATAGCCGCATGATGGATTTGTCGAGGCCAACGAATTTTAGTACTTTTTTCCGGCAGCTATCTCGTCCTACCGCTGTTACACACAGTATCTACTGCAATGTATTGCACCCAATACGCAAAAACCTTGTTTTAATCCGCGGGAACCTTTTGGAAGTATATGATGTCCGTGGGGAAAGGTATTTTCTTTACATTTTTATGCGCCAGTGGCCATGAGTGCCTTGTTTATATTACAGGCACTTCTTTGTATGAAGAGGCTAAAGATCTCGCGTCCGTTCGCCTTCGCAATGACCTATTGGACTCAGTACTTCTTAGCTTTAGCGAAGCCAAGGTATAGTGGTGTTTGTGTGTCACTCTTTGAGGTTTCGGCTTTAACTTTCGATATCCACACTTATGAGTTCAAAACGCGTTCTCTCCATACATATGAGCAATCTGCTCTGAGGGTAAGTATGTTAGTCTTACCGATTTCTTCGTCATAATCTGCTGACTATACGCGACTCACTAGGGCGGCAGGCTGCAGTTCACAAGATCACCACTGCTCCGTGTTGATCCGCTTCAAAGATGCGCCGTCATGCTAGTGTATGACAGATTTTTGGCTGTTTTACCATTTCGACGCGTGGATGCACTCGCCTCTCCGCGTATGTCTACAGACCCATGTGCTACACCAATACTCGATTCCTCGTGGCATATTAGGGCAAACGCGCCTGTTCTGTCTACTTTCACCACTTTTCTCAGCACATCTACCGGAGAGCCAATAAATCACGTGATAGATATGCAATTCCTCTTTGGATTTTATGAACCCACTCTTCTTATTCTTTATGAACCTTCTGGAACATGGACAGGGTAATTTTGTTATTGAAATAACTTTTCCTTTTATTTAGTCGAGTGTCAGTGCGACGAGATACATGCTGCATAGTTGCTCTTTCACTAAATCTTCACGAGCGCACTAATCCAATTATTTGGTTCCAAGAGTTACTGCCTTATGATTGCCATACAGTTTTGCCTATTAAAATGCCGATCGGTATGTTTTAGTTACCACGGTTAGTATATTGTAGTTATTTGGAGCTACTGCACGCTCATCTTTGGATTTAGGGGGAGTGGTCATTCTTGCTACCAACTCAATTATCTACTTGAAACAAACCCTACCATCTCGAGGGCTACCGCTGAATTACTATACTAGAGTTTCGACCAATTTTCCGTTTCGTAAGTTTCAAAGTGTTTTATAATGTGCGTCTTATTTCAATGAATATTAACTTGTAGACTTCTTGCAGGTCAAGGTGTACCCACGTGTGGTCCTCTTTCCTTGGACGGCTGTCGCGCAACCCTACTGTCGTCTTCGGAAATTCTCATTGTAGCTAGGGATGGAGCGTTCTACATTCTCACGCTTTTATTGGAAAAGGCTAATAACACAGTGACGGAATTGTTTCTTTCCAAAGTTGGTTCATACGTGCAAGCGGAAAGTGTGAGTTGTTGGTTGGAAGTCCTAAAATCCTATCATTCTCATCAAGCACTACAATTTGCTCCCTCTATGCAGATTACAGTAATGGACAATTATTTTCTATTTATCGGATCGTGTCTATCGGACTCGTTGCTTATGGGATTTAGCACAACCCAAAAATCCGTGAATAACGCTGAGCTCTCGACAACTGTTTTTAACAGTATGAACGGGGAAAATTATGACAAAGAGGTGATTGTTTTGACACTATGGGCCTAGTTTTTCACTGACTTGTCTGAACACTTTTTAAATCTTGATGAAGCATCCCGCTAAACAGCCCCGATCATCACCTGAATTAGAAGCTTCCGAGGTGGCATTGAACCTGACTGAATCGGATCTGGTGGATATTGAGTTGTATGGACCCAATGCCTTGAAGAAACCGACGAGATCATTTGTTATAAATGATTACATATTCACGGTGAGTTGAACCTCTAAATATATCTACGCCGGCAAGGTTAACTGCTATTGTTTCTGATGGTATATTCGACTTCTTTGATGGATACTATCAAAACTTGTTAAGGATATAGAAGACAAATAAAGGCCATGGACTTGTCCTCTTGGTATGATTATTTGCTGTTTATAGCGTTGACTCGATGGTTATGGTTATGGGTAGCTGTTTTATATGTGTAATTGCTAACTGCTGATCTTGTTTTGTCTTGCATAGACTCTAGATAAGCTTCGAAATATCGGCCCCGTGACATCTATTACAGCCGGCGAAGTGCCTTGCTTGGCCACCGGGCAAACCGACCCTACGGACGAATCGCTAACTCAGGCCCAATCAGAACTTGCACACACCGAACTCATCGCTTGTGTAGCCCAGAAGTCGGGCGCAGGGTCGGCAATCCTTCAGTTGCATCGCAGTGTACGCGCTCGGGGTCTCACTGCTTTTGAGCTACCTGAGTACAGTAGTCTTTGGTCTCTTTACGGTCCGCCCATCGGAACCTTCACAGAGCAAAATAAAGCCGAAGACGGTAAATTACAAGACAACGGGAAAACAACTTCATCCATTAGGGAGGAAGAGAGGGAGAAAGCTGGTATGTAGACTCATCTTTATTGGTGTAACGAGTAAAGGTTAATAGAAATTAAGTCCAACTACTTGGATTTGCTTATTTTATGATGTAAGTCTCCTTTGTCAGCTTACAATCACTATTACTCTCTTTGAGGCCCTTTTTTGCCTCTAGATCAGAGTGGAAACGAGGCAGTGGGCGACATCCCAGCATCAAAGTCAAACGAAAATGAGGTGCTGCCATCCGACGTTGATGATGCGCAGCTCATCAACACATGCTCCGTTCACAGTTACCTCCTTTTGACAAGAGAAGATTCCTCGATGGTATATCTTGGCCCTTTCTTTTTATCGCTTTCTATAGGCAGTAGTTTTAAGTAGGTTCTAGTTCTGAATTTTGCTTTTTATGCTCATTTAATTTTAAACACTATTCAACATCCTACCTTATTTGTTTTACATGCTGTAAAGTCGACTGGCTTCATCCGATGTTGTTCTTATGAGTTCCTCATGACTCCTGGATTGCAGATTCTTGAGGTGGGTAAAGAGATTGTAGAATTGGAGGTGAGTGGCTTCAAAACGACGGAAACTACTGTGATTGCTGCGAATCTGGGACTTAAAACCATTAATACAGATCAGGACCGTAATATAGAATCAGCCAACAGAGGCAGTGACAAGGAAATGGAAGTTGGTGTGGATTATCCTTACATTATACAAGTAAGTTCTATTTTGTTGCCACCTTGTTTGAACGAAAAGTGTGTTTCAGGTGCTATCGATTCGAGTTTTGTGCATAATTTTTTTGTATTTTCCAATTGTTTCAATGTGTATGTCAGCATTGTTTCGATGCTCGAGCTTTGTAGTACACTCTTGTACCTTTTCCTTCACTCCTTTCCCTTTCATGAAAGGGCAATTTCATTGTTCTTGGCCACACGTCAACAGAAATGAGCACTCTTAAGCACACTTTGCGTTGAGTTTTTGCTGAAATTCCATTGTTCATTAATGTAACGTCCGTGTTTCGATGTTGCCTTCAACTCAAGCTGATGACTTGGGTCACGAAACTGCAGAGACTACAGATTTGTCGGGCAAATCACTTACGGTACCTCAGACACGATCAACTGCTCATTATTCCTATTATTCGGCTGGAATGCACCACTCAGCACCTAGCGACCCAATATTTGTCGGTTATTTTAGAAATGCGCTAATTGAATGCATCTGTTAGTCTTCTACGTCGACCAATCGGGAATCGTTGAGTTTTTTGAAATTATTCAGTCTTTTAGTGTAGGAATAGTCATTAGCTTGCCATGTCGCTTACTTGCCAGGTCTGTCCAACTTCGTTTCGTCTGCTGAATGGGCCTCACCTGGTTGAGGAGCTGCACTTAACCAATGACTTACGAATCAATCTTGCTAGTGTCGCAGATCCTTACGTTCTTGTGAGTACTGAGGATGATGATCTAATCTTAGCTACCCTGCAACATGATCCTGCAAGTAACACCGATCGGAGAAAACAAGCTGCAGACAAGGTAGCAGATCAGAAGAATCGCTCTCCCGCTGAGCTCGATTCCAGTGATCATTTCAAATTCACATATGAGAGCTTATCATCACCTCGCTACTTGGATCTCAGTTGGCCCAAGGTTACTCAGGTATGCTTTCTTCCTGTTACCATTACCTTGTTGCTAGAGGCATCTGAATTAAATATAGTTATCTGCATTTTGGAAACAAAGATTTAAAGGTCAGATCTTAGACCTTTTGTGGTGGCAGTGTAATGTTGCAATCCAGTGTGTCCTACCTTTGGTATAGGTAGAGCAATGAGTAGGCCTAAACACTCGTAGGTTATCTTGCTCCATTAAATCATCAGTGCCGAAATTCTTACCTCTGAGATTTACTGGAGGAATTTTCTTACTGCCACCATAGACGTATTTGCCTACTGTAAAGATTTACGACGCACTATGTATATATTTTTGAGCTGAGCGGTTAGCTTGTTTAAGTGAGCCAACAATTTCAGTGCTGTGGGATAAAACTAACACGGTTCGAATTGTCGTAAGCAGACATAGGATCATCTTTGAAGCGTTTATGTTTGAATCACCCAACGACCTAACTATGATTAAGCGCCATTTACTGTCTTCTTTTTCAAGAAGCTTGATCATTGAGTGTTTCGTGGTTAGGCACATCAAAACTAAAGGTAATCCGATTGGAGTGGAAAATAGGTTTTGACCATCGGATTAGGATGATTTGTATGCTTGATGCCGTTCCGATTGTTCCATGCTTTTATTGTTTAGATTGCTCCACCCATTTGTTTCTGCTTGTATCACGATGAGACGGGTCGGCTAACGCAATGGCTCGGTTGTAATGTTGCTCCTAATTTGCTGTCGAATGCTTCAACAGGCATCATGGAGGATGCCAAGGCGGCCAATACTAATGAGTAAGTCTTTCGTCCTACTTCTGTAGTACCTTAATTCCGATGTCGGTCGTAAACACAGAGTGTAATTATAATTCATTCACCTTTCACCTGTCCACATTCATTACATCCCTTTATTTATAGCTCCGCTAACAATAGGAGCTCTCTCGATGAAGAGGATGTGCTGTTGTATGGAGTAGTACTTGACATTTGTAAGAGGGAAGGAAACTTTGATCAGATGCATGCAGTTAAGGAAACCTCACAGCCACTCTCTGATTCTATCATGAAGTAAGTGTTTTGGGAGAAATTTATTTCCACCACTTGGCAGTCTTGCTCTCGATGCTTCAATTTTTATGTTTTTGCATGTCGTCAGCTATTGTGAGGTTTTTTTTGAAATTCAGCGAAACGGAATCTAGAGAAACAACCTCTGCGTACTTCGCATTTATTGTTTTTTCAAATGGAGTTCTTGAGGTTAGTTCTATCACACTCGTCTCTCTATCCCTCGAAACGGTGAACTAGTAGACTAAGTTGTTATTTCAGATTTACAGCGTACCTCAGTTTATATGCCTGTTCGAGATGCGACAGTTCAATGAACTTCCCAATCTTTTGGTGGACTCACGAGGTATGCCTGAAGAGGAGAAAAGAAAACAAACTAGGTTCGTCTTATACTTTTGATTGTCTGTGTTGCGCTATTCTAATGTCATAGTGCGTTGGACAACAAGCAGTCTTTCACTTGTATTAGCATGTCTGTGGAGAATGAGGATCTGCCTCCGCCGATTCGCGAAATCACTGTATTCTCAATGGACCGTGAGCGAGGACACCCAGTTTTGTTTGTTAGTTGATCTTTTACAACATTTTATGCTTTTATTTTTGCTTTTCACTGATACATTTTGCTGTCAATTTTTTTACACGCTATGACAGTAGGCTTGCATTGCTATACAAGTTGGACGGTTTTTTGTCTTTTTGGTAGGTGCGAACTGATCGTGAGGTGATTTGTTACGAGGCTTTGTGTCCACTGCCCGAAGAGGCTGTTCCGTTGACTCCAGTGCCTCCTAATTACGATCCAAACAACCCTCTGCGCTCGCATTGCTTGCTACGCTGGATACGTTTGCCTGTATCGTGCCCCCTAATGGCTCCAAGCAGGCTTCGATCCGATCCCCGTGTCGCTGACATTCAGGTTTGATCGCAAACACGTTTCCTAAGAGTACTCATTCTTTGCAATTTTCTCGATTTTCCGTATGATTGAATTGAATTGCTATTTGACATAAAGAACATTTGCTTGCCTCAATAGCTTGTTTTTTTTGAAGGTACTCTTCTTTGCCTCTCGAATTAATCTTCCTTTTGGTTTATCAATGTTAGGCAAAGCTGATTAGCAAGTCCAATGTCTTGCACCCCTTTGAGGCTATAGGCGGACACAGGGGCATCTTCGTTTGTGGTAGCCATCCTGTTTGGATGTTTTGCAACCGCATTGGTCATATCTACGTGTTTCCCCACACTATTGATGGCATCATCACGAGTTTTGCGCCCCTCAATATCGCCTCCTGTCCTGACGGGTTTGTCTACTTCACTCATACGGTATGAAGTGTAATTTACTTTTCCCTCTAGGGTCATATCAATCATTTTCTCCTAGCATTTGTATTTAAGGCTGGGTTTGAATATCATATGCTTTTTGGTTGGAGATGAAAAGAGACCAACTAGTTTTATTCTCACTTGTGAGGATGGCTTCGTATTGTAGTTATGCGTTGACTAGACTTAAGTTGGATTCAATGGTTACTGAAGCCTTGTGCTTTCACTTCAAGCTTGTATGGTTCAGATTGATGCGACTCTAACTGACTTATTAAAGGGGTAGCATCAATTCCACTAACTTGAGATGGCAAATCACACATTAACCCAAATAGTCCCTAAGCTGCAAAATAAACAGAATGCGGGGCCCATGTTTGGTCTTTGTTCGCGCTTCAAACATAAGCACTTATTAATATATTTCCCTTTTTGACATCATCTAGAATGAAATGAAGTTGGCTACTCTACCTCCAGGCTATTTATATGAACACGAGCTTGGCATTGGTACCATCCCCATCGAAGGATGTCCACATTTCGTTCAGTATCATCTTGAAAGCAAGGTATTTGAAAGGTTCCAATTTTGGTTCAGGCTTGTGCGTTCTTTCATAAACTTGGTGTATTATTAGCAAACAATGAAGTTCGTGCAATTATTAACTTCAAAATCTTACTTTTTCTAGTACGTTCTTTACACTTTAGACGTACGTGGTTATTTCCAGTACAGTGACCGAGTGCCGCACCATAGTCCGTTTAAATGCGGACGGTAATAAGGAAGAGGAGGTGGTAGATCGCCCAGATACATGTATCTTCCCCAAAATCGACGCCTTCAAATTACAGGTCCTCGCTTCACTCCCAACCGCCAATTTGCGAGTAGCACCACGGTTTGAAGTCGTCCCTAATTCTACGTAATCGGCCTTAATGAGCTCTATGTTACTTTTGACAAATTCATCGTGTACTGGAGTACTGTAAATTTCTTGTTCATTTCAGAATTGAGTTTGAGCCCTTCGAATCAGTATCATGTCTCGTTACTGTTCAATTATCATCAGACCTGACTTTTGATGAGACAAGAAACTACCTTGCACTTGGAGCTAATTTATCCTATGGAGAGGAGATTCCTGTCCGTGGACGCATAATTTTGATTGACATTATCGAGGTGGTGCCTGAGCCGGGTCAGCCTCTCACTCGGCACAAGGTGAAGACGGTCTATGATGGAGATCAGAAGGGTCCAGTCACTGCTCTGACAAGTTGTCAGGGCTATCTCATCAGTGCAGTGGGGCAGAAGGTAGGTTTTAAGATGTGATTATCAAATATGTACACATTATTAGTCAAAAGTTTGGACACGCTGAGATCGCTATCAGTGTTGCTCGCCATTTACAACTGCGTGTTCAACCGACTTCACAAACTGCTCAACTTTTACGCACTTGATAGCCGACTTTAAAAGTTGCTTTACATGGGTATACCCTTGATAACTGAAAAATGTTAAGGAATGGATACTTCTAATCACACATGCCTCAATCCTAGACGCTGTTGACGAGGAAACAGATTAGAAGAGGCGTCTAAGGAGGAGGTTTGCATTAGTCCTCTTGACTATTGCTTTTAAGACACTTAACGGTGAGAGAAGCATATCAAGTAATTTCCACCGTTTCTGGCTAAGTTAAGGAAATCCTGTCTGAATTGATACTACTATGAATATAGTCTGAAAGTTGACGTCACTGCAACCAAATTACGGAATCCCTCAGTGGTTTAATGATGTCATTTAATTATTAAATTCATTGCGTTTGCATTTTCACGATTAGTTGCAATCTTGTTTGCCATGTTACATATATATATATATACATATAGCTTATTGTCCCTCCTTTTAATAGATTTACATCTGGGCACTGAAAGCCGGCGACTTAGAGGGCGTCGCTTTCGTTGACACCGACCTCTACATTCATACTCTACTTTGTGTAAACAATCTCATTTTGGCTGCAGATGTGCTCAAATCAATCCAATTACTCCGTTTCCAGTCAAATATGCGAGTTCTCTCCCTCGTGTCACGAGATACCACCCTCCGTGAGGTGTTTACTGCCAACTTCTTTGTTGATGGAGTCAAATTGGGCTTCCTTGGTGAGCTTTTTTTTCGAAACAGTATTATCAGCACCTCCAGTAGATGTGATTGTGTCTATATATCAAATAGAGAACTGACTGTATGAGTGGTAATTGTGGTACACTCATGCACAAGATATGATTGAACCACTCCGGAACGATCTGCTGCGTTGTTCCAAAATGAATACCGGTACTGTTACACGGCGCGGGGTAACACTTCGAAGTTTAAACAAAAGGAATTGTTAGCGAAATATGATGGTTGGATATGCATTGATCAGTGTCATGTATTCCGCATAATGAATGCTCACAGAAACGACTAATGTGAGCTTTGGATTGCCAACGCTTCTATAATAGTCAGTGGCAGACACAAACGTCCTTGTGTCATCATTTAAATGCAATACAGGCGAGCACACCATCTTTTTCCTATTGATGAGGTATTACGTATGGATATCTTCATTCGCGATGCGGATCACTACCACATTTTCTTGCCATCTTCACTAAGAGCATCCGAGTTGTTTAACATCATGCCTGCTACCTGCTTCAAATAACAGTGGTACATACTGCAACTGTTACATCTTTTTTTAAAATCAATTTGGGTTTGTTTTAAACGCCATCTTTATTTTCCTTGTTTAGTCACTGATAACCTGGGCAATCTGATGGTGTACAGTTATGATCCAGAGGAACTGGCTAGCTGTTCTGGCCGACGCCTTGTGCGTCGAGTGGACATGCGTCTGCCTTCGGTGGCTACAGCGTGTCTGCGCGTGGGAAATCGTTTTCGGCACTCATTGCTCGCGGTCAAAGCTCTACAAGCTGAGGCGAATGAACTTAGAAGAAATCGCAACAAGCTAACAACACCAGGAGTTGGATCAGGTCTTCTAACCGCCTTGGAGTACGAAAGGACGCGACATTCTGTATACTTTGGTAACTTTGTGTTTTGCGACCCTTGTTCATTCTTTTTCAAAAGAAACAAATCTCCCTTTTTTCTCACTTGAATTATAGGCACAAGGAATGGCGCTATCTATCTTATTACACCGATTCGAGATAAAATGTCTAGCCGGCTAAGGATAGTGGAAAAGAACTTGATTCAGTGTATCGGTTGTACTGCCGGCTTGCTTCCCCGTGTCTGTCGGTATGTCTTATTCGATTAATTTTCTGCGAATATCAAAACGGGATTTCCTCTTCCTTAAGGCAATATAACCAGCCCTTTCCAGAACTCAGTAATCCCTGTGGCAACGTTGTGGATGGTGACTTGATACAACGGTATCTCCTGCTACCTCATGAACTGCGTATTGAGGTGGCCAAAAAGTCTGGACAAAGCCTGGATTCGGTAGGTGATTTGAGTAGGTATTGTTATCAGACAAAACACAATTCCTGGTTTTAATTGCCTGCCTGAAATGGTTCATAAGTTTTTACATCCCTATTGTGGTGCATATTTCCATTTAATGTCTAGAAAATTTCATTAAGCGTTGAAAACAATTGAAGCGAAATTAGAGTTAATGAGCAAGAACATGATGCTTCGTGTGCTATTCGAACTACATCGCTCAATACAATAGGTCATCATCAAAGAAAAAAGAATGCGTTAAATACTTGCTTTGCTGGGCTCATCTGCGATTAGGCAATTAAATTCCCTTCTGCAGCGGTTTAACGCATTAAACCCCAAAAGACCTACTGCAAATTAAGGCAAACTGGCTTCATTGTGCTTACCACGTGTTTTGATGCTATGCAAACCTCGTAAAGCCTTGGCTCAAGGACCACACTTGCTTGGCCTTCATTTACGATTAACACTCTAGAAATCATCATATTACGAAATGTGGTCCTGAAATTTGCATTCTTAAGCACATTTAGTTGAATCTTCTGCTGCAAGAGTAGTGAAAGGTCGCCATCTGTTAAAAAGACTTGTAAATATATCAGCCACAGCTTTGTGTAGCGTAGGTTTAAACCTGCGCCTCGTCTGCATAAATTTCCTTTTTTTTTGTAGATAATGGACGATATTGCGGAAATAAATGCAATAACACTGCACTTCTAAGAGGAACAAGAATTGTGTACCCCATTTTCTATGTTTTTATCCAAATATAAATTTCTAATAATCAAGTCAGAAAAGAAACTAATGTCGCGATTCGGAACTGTAGTGTCGTAGATATAGGCACTGCCAGCATGCCCTCATTCCCTTGGACAACGGATTTCAAGGGGGGTTTATTTGCAGTAGATTTATAAGGCATTGATTAAAGGAAGAACAGGGATACGAGAACAAATGAGTCAGAAAACAGGTCGCTCGGGGGGGGGGGG